GACCCGGGCGTTTCAGCTTCCGCAGTCGCTGCGGCTGGGTTTAACGCGGAGCGCGCGCGGCGGCCTCTCCTCCGGCGCGTAAACTCCGCCCAGCTAAACGTTTACGGTCGCGCTCCTGTCGCGAGCGGCGCTGGGACGAGGTGGGAGCTCGCGGAGGCGGCTCCCTCCCTGACGCGCTCCGTAAACGCGCGTCCCGCAGCCACGTCTAGCGAGGCGCCAGCTGCCGTTCCACGTGCTGTAGAGCTGCGAACCGGCTTTTTTAAAAACGGTCGTTGTCAAGTTGCTCCTTTCTGCTGTGGGCAAGTCTGTAACTCTTGCTTAAACTGACGCTCGCTGAAACGATCTATCTCCTTCTTAATCTTTAGGGCATTATGTTGGTCTATGACATCACCAACGAGAAATCTTTTGAAAACATTCGGAACTGGGTCAGGAATATTGAAGAGGTAATGTCCCTCTTTACTTGCTGCCTGTTGAAGATGCTGTTTCTTCCTCCAAAAGCAGTCGAAACCGAAACGCTTCAGAATCACTCAGTTTCTTCCGCATTCGGGAGCGGAAGGGTCCTTGGAGAGTCAGTTGAATGAAAACAGCGGTGGGTTCTGGGGCGTCTCGGTGAACAGCGGTTCGTTGTGCTGGTGCGCGAGGGCCAGCCGCGGGGTTGGAGCCCTTCTCCTGACCGGGGGACCAAGGTGGCGTTCTCCTGCCAGGACAGGCGACCCGCGAGCCGTCGCCGCGCAGGACGCGCTGGGCCGTCGGTGCCCGCAGGGAGGGGGGCTTTGGGGAGCTCGGAACTGCGGAAAACGCTTGGCACCGGCATCTCCGCGTTAAGAGCTTGCTGTGCGCCTCCTCTTTTTGACGAGATTTGTCTCAGCCCCCCACAGCAAAGGCCTGTGCTCTGTTTCTATCTCAGCACGCCTCTCCGGACGTGGAAAAAATGATCCTTGGGAACAAATGCGATGCAAACGATAAAAGACAAGTTTCTAGAGAGCAAGGGGAGAAGGTAAGTGCCGTAGCTTTAACGCATTTCAGCTTAGACTTCTCAGAGTGTAAAGATTGCGTTCGTTACCGTCTGCGCGCTTCTTTGGCGCCTCGGCGGTGTTCCGAAGCGGAACCATTGAACATCTCCCGGGCTGTGGTGGCAAAACATCTCCCTGCTCTGGTAAAAAGATGAGCCTGCGGTAAGAGCTCTCGTCGATTGCCTGGTGGAGATGTGCGAGGGGCAGACAAGGGGCTGGATTCTTCCTTAGAAAAAGGAAGAAGCAGCACGCTGGAGTCGGACGTTTGGGAGCCGTCTCTTCTGGGCTGAAGGCCGGGGAGGCGAGGCGGGCGGGATTGCCTTTTCTGGCGTCAGATGTTGCTCGGCCGAGGCGGGGAAGGTGCCCCTGCGCGCTGCGGGCGTTGCGAGACTGACGAGGTATCTATGCGAGGAAAAAACTTAAAGTCAGAGGAGCAGATGAGAACGTGTGCAGAGTGTAAAGCAGCAGGGCAAAGCCCGGTAAGAGCAGGTGCTAACAGGGAGGAGATGTAGTCGCTGGAGCAGATCCCCAGGTTGCTCTGGGTGGCGGCAGGAGGGGCGGATCCCGGGCGGGCCGTTTTATTCAGAGCTGTTCCCGCAATTATCCAACTAACTGAAACCTGCTTTTGTTCAGCTCGCTGCAAGTTTTGGAATTAAATTTATGGAGACCAGTGCAAAAGCAAATATAAACATAGAGAACGTAAGTACCGTAACCTTTCTCTTGTATTTACTGTCTCGTGCGCGCAAGCCGGCAGTGGGGACGCTTGCCCGTCGTGGCTGGACCCAGGCTCCGCTGTTGGGTGCTGCAGGCGGGTTACTGAGACGCGTCCCTGCGTTCCGTGAAGGCGCTGGCTAACCAGCGTTATGCTAATTTATTTAAATTGCACTCGGTGCTTAGAGCGTAACACAAGGGCGTCCCAGCAGACTGAGATGGCTTATGTCTGCATTCGGTAACGTGATGGAGCACGGGCGGCGTTCTGCCGCTCTGAGGCCTGGTCGTGCCCCACTGTCCTGGTTCCCAGGCTCGGGGAGGAGGTGGCGGGGTTAGAAAAGGAGCCCTAAAACCTGGAGGGGGAGAAGAACCTGAAATCATGATGTTCCTCAGGAGCTCAGTGTCTGTAGAAACTCGGGAAGGCAGCTTATCGCTAAACAGAAATGTTAGAATATATTTTATTTGCCGTGTAACACTTAACTGTTTTACTCGTCACAGGCATTTTTCACTCTTGCAAGAGATATCAAAGCAAAAATGGACAAGAAGTTGGTGAGTAGCTTTTACTTGGTCCACGCTGTATTTAAATAGGAAAAAAACCCAACCAAAAGCCAAAGAGCCAGTCCTGGTTCACCGTCCACGAAAATATTTTGTGGCCTCTCTCATGGGGGATGCACTGAAGGTTATAGACGCTTATTTTTAGTTTTGTCAAGCTACGCTCTGACCTTGGCTTATAAACAATTGTCTCTGCATTTCAGGAATTAGCTGCAAGGGTTGAGGTTTTCTAAATAAAACTATCTTTTGTTTGCTTGAGTGAAAGTCAGGTGAGTGGTAGAGCAGTTCAACGATAGTGCTTGCTCTTGCAGTCTGAACACGGGAACCCTGTAAATGAGACGGGTAGGAGGCCCCCTCCCGCCTCAGGGCGGCCTTCGAACTAGCGTGTGCAAAAATCGGTGACGAACCAATTAGTTTTTGATAACTTTGCGAAAGCGTCCTGAGAAGGGAGTGGGTTACCCCTCGTACCGCAAACAAACGCGTATCGACGTGGGTTTGCTCCTTGTGAAAGGAAGCTAACCAAGATTCCTTCTGCTTTTACCGAGCATCGCACCTCCCCGCGGCCAGGCGCGCGCCGACAGAGCTGCGGTATTTTGGGGCTTGCTGACGATGCCTAAGTGTTTCAGCAAGAGCCAAACGCGTCCTGTAATTTTTTATTTTTTTTTAAATCTCAGCGGTCTTTGAGTTGATAGAAAGAAGACGACCAGGCGCGGTGCCTGTTAGTCGAAGGCAGAAGTAGCAGGGGCAGTGCTCTGGCTTCTCGTGGTGGCTGACGTGAGGCTCAGAGAAGTGAGTGAAGCCCCCCGTTGATTTTAGAAGCGGGGTTTGTACCTGGCAGGCTCGAGGCAGCAAACGAAGGGATGAAGTCTGGGTGCTGGAGCTTACAGCGATGCCGGAAGCTGTTACGTATAAATAAGTAACTTAATATTCTTTGCGTCTTCAGGAAGGCAATAGCCCGCAAGGCAGCAACCAGGGAGTCAAAATCACACCAGACCAGCAAAAGAAAAGCAGCTTTTTCCGATGTGTTCTTCTGTGAGGGACACGGCCTTAATCTGAGCGCCTGCTCAAGGGAACTGGACTGTGCCCGTTCTGAGTGAGAGCTCCTCTGTCTGTGGACTTAGCGTTTTCAACATACCTTGTCACTTTGTGACCATCTGAATAAGAAATTGTTTATTTTAGTAATTGTCTGACTCTTCAATTTTGGAGATGAAACAAGTTTATTTTTGTCAGATTGCCACTGGGCACGTGTATTGTCTAGCAGAGGGAGTACAGATCAAACGCGACCTGTGATACAGCACCTTTGCTGCCAGGCTTCAATCGTTTTGTTCATATCTGTATGTGTCCAAATTAGAGAGATTAAGTTATGATCAAAATAAGAAACGGAAATGCCAATATTAATAAAGTGCAGGTGTGCGTACGTGATACCTGTGCATCTCCATCTCTACAGATGCAGAGAGAACAGTCGCATCAGAACATCACATAAATGCACTTCGCAGGCAGGACAGGCGTGTACCTTTCCAGCAGGCAGAAGGAAGCTTTCTGCCTCTCCGCCTCTTTGCTACTACAGAGAAAATCCCTTACCTGCCTGTTCCTCGTTCAGCTGCCTTGTCCTAGACAATCCACAAGTACAATTGAAGTTTAAAAAAAAATAATCCTCCTCAAAGGAATCTCTATTTTTTTAAAAACCTAAAGCGTGCTGTAAATAGAATGGATCCTTACCATCAGGAGTTACTTTATCCGTGTGAGACTCCACCGTGCTTAATGAAGCACGCCAGACGTTCAGACGCGTTTCACAGGAGTCGATGGCTACAGCGAGGCCCGTGCCGAGGCGCTGGCGTCTGGTTTGAGAGAAGCAGACCCTGGTCGGGGCAGGGACGCTTACACAAAATTTGTCACGTTACAATGGGCGGCTTTTTCTTCTCCAGTTGAGACTGACTCCGGCTCTGTCATGATGTAGTAGCTAGTTATAAATTGTGACAAGAAATTGTATTGCACTGCTTCCAGTTGTGTGTTCTCATGCACACTCGCTCACATATGCAAATAAATGTTGCACATATGAACACTTTCTGAAAACAAACTTTTTTAAACTGAGATTTGCCTTGCTGCTGTCTACTGATCACTTCCGATTTCAAGCAGCAGCAAACCCGTTAATAGCGTGCATCAGTGCCGCTGATGTTAGTCCTCAGTGGGAACGTTCTGTGTATTTATTCCTGTAAACGCAGTCTGTCACATTCCGCTGTATGAAATGTAGCAGCCGAGCGGAGCTCCTGGGTAGCTGGCTGCTCTCCGTTCAGAGGCCGTCGGCCTGACTTAGTGAGCCTGACAAGAGGAGCCAGTCGGAGCCATCAGCTCCGAGGTCTGCTGTCAAGCGATTGCAATCCTGGTATATTTAATTCAGCTGAACGTATCAGCTGTGTCCTGCAACTCACTGGAATTGTTAACATGCTTTGTTTACATTGACAACTGCACTTAAGGGTAAAATTAAAGCTGATTTTAAAGGTAATGAATTTACTCACCGGTTTTGTTTTCTTCAAGTTTGTGGTAGTATATTCTGGCCTCAAAGCAGCACTCGTAAGTGTTACTGTAGTTAAAGATCTATCAGATTCATAATTAAACTTTATAAATCTGCAGCGTGCAATTGGGCTCAACAGCAATATCGCCTGTTTTTCTAAAATGGAAAAGGAAACTTTATAAGTTACTGGTTTATAAAAATGCATTTTATGTGCTACCAACCTTTTTTTTTTTTATTAGCTCGCAGATTACAATGAGCTCTGTTCACGATTAAAATCATACGTAAAGCTTTCCTCTAACCAGAAACTTGTGACGGGGTTTTTTTGTTTACTTGTGGCTTTTCAGCGCGGGGACGTGGTGAACGTGCACCACAGCGGATGGCGCTGCTGTATTTGTAGGATAAAATCACGTTAAGCTACTGAAGAGCCTGCTAGTCAGTACGGGCTGCAGAGTGTAGTTACTACGGAGCTATAGGTCGCCCAAGCAATGCTTCCATCTTGAGATAAGGATGCTGTTAAAGAAGGACTTTGTGCATGCTTCGGGAAATGACTGAGGCAGAACCGGGGGGGGCGATTAAGGCACGGTCTGAATGTTGTTGTCCTACACAAAACAGATCTGTTTAATGATTTGGTTCTGGCTTAGTAGTAAACGTGGATTGTCTCGCATCCGTCCTGCTCCTTTAATACAGCCAGGTGTTGCAGCCAGACTTGTTTTTCAAAGTGACTGGAAAAATAAGTGGTTCGGCTAACTCGATAGCACGGGCCGTCCACCGCCACGCTGGGTAGCGCCTGTTGACAGTAGCTAAATCGCTAACTCATCCTGAGATGAGAAAGAAAACCATCTTCATTTCCAGGTGGATAAAACTTGAAGGATGGAATTGTGGTTTTCACTCCTCGTTTTCTAAATCTTAAGTTACTCTTACTGCGTTGAAAGCTAACTCTTCGTATGTGAATACCTTTTGTTTAAACTTATGCTGGTTGTTGCACATGTTTATGTACCTAATTTGTAGCATGATTTCCTTTTACAAAATGATCGGTTTTACTCAATGAACGACTACGTTATTGCCTGATCTCAGGAAGTTTCAAACACTTACTGTGACTACAGTCATCACTGTACTTCTAGGGCATAGAGACTACACAGAAATTAAATCACTGTAAGCAATACGAAACCTAAAATGCAAATGTAAGACAGGAGAAGGTTAAAGACGCTGCAGTTGCATGTATGCTTGGCTATGCGTTGCTAAGTACGGACAGCGAATCTTGGATAAGTACAACATGTAGTTGGTGTTTCCATCGCATAATTAAATTACTGTTTTTTACGTATGAACGTTATGGAAAACACAGTGATCGAAAGAGGTACTGCGTAAACACGTAGAGTAGTGTATTTATATCTAAGCTTTCTTTAAGGAGGAAAAAATCTGAAATTGGATACAAAATCTGTAAAACTGAGGAACTGAAGTAGATATGAAAAATTAACAATGTGCTTACTACACATTCTCAGTGTCTAAATGCCACTAAAATTTCAGGTAATCGCTTAACACTTGGTTTGTAGAGAAACAAACCCACTTTTGAGCACGTTCTCAAATTCCCTTGCTTTAACGAGTATCATAGAATTCTGTGGTTGACCTTATTTTCGAGGCTGGTTGCAATATTTCAGAGAGTCTTCACCCGTGCAGGTGCAGACCTGTCAGTAGCTCGCCTGTCAGCAAGCGGTGGAACTGCTGTTTCAACGCTTTGCCATTTGAACACTTGCGTTGTCTGGGTCCTTTGCCGATAGGCACATCTAATGTTCCTTGACATCAGAGCCTTATGCCAGCATCAGACTTTCAGCCTCAGATTTATAAATCCTATGGATTATTGTGAGTCTCTTTACTGCTGCTGAAACTTATTTGGTCTCTCCTTTCATGCGAGATGCTAATCATCTCGCTGACAATTGGTAAGGGTTTTACTGTTGCGGTGGCGTTGTCTTTGGCTGATGATCGAGCTCAAAAGCTACCGTGATTTCTTGTTCTCTTGGACTTGAAAGGGCTGGGGCTGACGCTGGAGAGGCAGTGGACAAACAGCTGCATAGAAGATGGTCTCCATTTGTTCATAGGGGCTGGGAAAGAATGATGACTAACTTCTGGCTTCATTTCCAGATGAAATAAAGATCTGTTCGATTGAACGTTAATGGTAATGTGCAGTCTGATTATTTCAGGCTGCCTGATTCTTTGACCCATCTCTTCCACTGATCATGGGGGTGTTTGTTTCTGTGGGTAACACGCGTTGAGCGGGCTGGTCTCTCCAGCCCTTCTGCAGGAATCATCTGCTCGACGTTGAGCGTGAGTTGGGACTTTGTTTTGAAGGGCACTTAATGCATCCCGACATTTTTAAAAATAACTGTAAATTGTGTTTTTAGAATGACCACTTTTGGCTGCCACCCTTCCCACATTACAACTGCTTTCTTAAACACTTCTCATTGATTTTCATGTTTGTATTAAAAACAAAACTTGTTTATTACAGTATGTATGTTTTTACTCTGTTGTACAGGACCCTGAGCACTGCATAAATAAACTTCTTATGAAAAGAGAATTTTACAAACTCAGTTTGTCAGTCTTGTTCATCATTCGTGCATATATTCTTGGGTGGCAAATAGGGTATTTCTACAAAGAGAAAGGAGGGACAGGAGCCCAGGGTAGGCTCTTTTGTCCTTTAAAGGATGTTGACTTTTTGTTACAAATTCTGGAACGGAGAGCTCTTCTCTATGTTCTTCTCAGAACCTGCCATGGGCTTCTGTGACACCCTAGGAGAATACTTTAGCAAATCGATTCACCGGGCTGTTCGTTAAAGCTGACTGTTAAAGCTGATCAGGGGCGTTGCTTACGCAATTTTGATTAACCGTGATGTTTTTGAAACTATTTTTGAGGGGTTTTTACTGGATAAGGCATTTTCTTAGGAATTTTTTTAGGAGCTATAATGTGATACAAGTTCCTTTACTACCTGGTGGTGTCTGAACTTTAAAAAAATACTTCCCAGCTCACTCTCTAGGCCAGATTTGCTCCGGCTGCGGGGGGGAATAGACATTTTGTTAAATTACAGGGAAATCTTGATGAAGAGCTTAATGAATGGTTCCTTTTAAAGAAGCAGGCAAGAGACAGAGTTCTCTGACTGGTTCAGTTACCAGACATTGTCCTCTTTGCTCCTCTCATTTTGCTCTCTCATGGATGGTAATCTCGGGTGAAGTAATAGTTGTTGAAGGTCCAAGAAGCACTTCGTCTGCATGTTTCACTGGATTCAGATTCGAATGTGAAATGTGCTATTAAAAAAAAGAAGTAATGATCACTTACGTATCCCTCTGTTCAAAGGGATTCACTGCAATTAATTCTAGGACCGTACAATAAATTGGAAACTTTCTTTTGCAAAGCACTTGCAGAGAATAGGTACGTTAAATACATGCAAGATTTGAGCGCTGCTTTGTGCAAGACATGCAGCAGAAACCATGCTGAGATTATGTTACGCATTGAGTGAGCTAATCTCGTATCCTTATCAATGGAGCCTAAGTGCTAATATTAACTTTTTAAGTTACAAGGACTTTTTGTCATGTAAAAAGTACGTGAAAAGCAAGTCGAGAAGCCTCCACGCTTTTTCAAGCGTCTGTTTTCCCAGTCTTTGTGGTGGGCACCTCTACTAGAAACTGTCAGGGAAGAGTGATGATCTGTAATGGCTGGGGAGACGTAAAACACACACTTCAGAGACCTCTGACGAAAAAACTAAGCGCAATTTTGTGTTAGAAATTAAAAGCACATATTACCTGAGGAAATCTGGAGCTCGTACTATCATGTGCTGAAAGTCTTCCAAAGAAAGCTTGCCATCGTTGTCCGCATCAGCTTCGTAAATCACCTTTTCGCACACAAGGCTAACTTCTTCTGGGGTAAGTTCATTTCGGGTTAATTTGTTAACAGTTTTCTCTAGATCTGATTTGCATATGTAATCATCATTATTAAAATCTGTCAAAGGAAACACAATGAATTCCAAGTGACAAAAGTCAGCATTTTACATGGCTGACCGCCAAGACCTAATAAGAAGGGTTTGGTTCCCAGGCCATAATGTATTTGTATAAGCAGAACCTGCAAATCAGAAATGAAGTCTTGCAGTTATCCATATTTGCTTGTATAAAAATTCGATAACAAAATAAAAATCCTGGAATCGTTTCTCCTTATCTTACGTAAGGGTAACCATTGTAAATAGTTTAATGGCTAAACACAGCCTAGCCATAATTAAATCACTCTAGCACATCAGCACTACTGAACTAAGGGCAAGAAATAGTTTGAAGTTAAAGGAAGAGAATGGGCTGTTCGGTTTTGGTGAGAGTTCACTTTTTTAACATCTTTTGCTGAATCATGTACAGTTTAAATCACAAAGAACGTTGGGTTGGTTGTTTGATATATTGTTTGGCTTTAGCTGATCATGAAGAAAGTAACTGAAAATGGTACTGTAAAGAAAAAAAAAATCTTTATATTTGTCCTTGGAGAAAAATGCTAGAAGTGTGCTTCCCTGCCTCCCGCCTCCCCCTACCAAAACCACCCCACAGATTTATGGGCAGCCAAATCCCTTGTGCTGCACTTTTCCAAGCAGCCCCTCAGACAGAAATATTTCCTAAATGTTTATCGGCTCTTGAAAACTACAGATAATTTCAGGTTGTAAATTTTGTAGTAAGTCCTAATCCTAAATAAGAGTAGAGACAAAAGGATAAAGAAGACTGGAAGTCTCTAGGAGAGAGAACAGGCATTCAAATGCAATGAAAAGAAAGGCTGTATTAAAAACACACCTAACTAGGAATCATTATGGTGGCAAAACACATATTTTACATCCCTACATGAAGCTGCAGGATTTCCCCAACGTTTACTTTTTATGCATATCTCACTCACCATAAATTTTAAAAGCGTAATAAGCTTTCAAGTCTCTGGGAGCCATTTCACTCAGCACTGAAAACATGTCCAAAAAATCATCTAAAGTCATATTGCCGTCTCCATCCTCTGAGAAAACCTCTGCTATCCGCTGGCGGAATGGATTGTCCTGGGAAACAGAAGACAGGAGCAAGGGAAGGTCATCTTTACTAGCATTTATTTCGGTGCAGGTAAGACACAACTGGAGCGAGATTATTTTTGTTGTAACCCCCTTTTGGCAAACGCTCCCCCTTCGGCTATTATGTTCTTGTCTAATGTTGTGTCAGAGGGAGACACAGCTGCAGCCTTTAACCTTTGTGCAATTTCAAGGTGTTTTCGGGGAATCGCTAGAAGCTTCCAGAAAGACTTTTTACTTCAATAGCCAAAATTTATTTGTCTTTCAGCCTCCCAGCAATTAGTACTGGATGAATTATTAAAAAAGGGTAGAATAAACTGAAATGTGTCACTCGATTCCGGTCGTGCTCCTTGTTCTGTACCTTCAGCTCTGGCATGCTGCCAATGAGTTCATAGGGAAGTGTCACGTCTGGTTTATCTGTGTAGTCGAGTGGGACTAGCTGCGGGGCTAGATCTCGGTATCTGTAAAACAGCCTGCAACAGAAAGGAAGGCTTGTTTAGGGAACAAGTTATTTACACCACTGAGAACAATGTGTTTGCCTGTTCCATATCATTCTTCACACTTTGCATCTTTACCAGATGGATGATGCCAGTCACTGAATACCATTTAGTATGCTCTGTAGTTGGTGGTGGAAGAGACAGTATTAAAAAGAACACCACAGTGTAACTGGCGAAAAATACAAAGCCTTCACGTTTACAGAACAATTTGGAGAAAATGCTTACACAGGTCAGGCAGCCAAACCACTAGGTACTGCACATCTGAAAACAGATTTTCACGAAGTTTCAGGCTTACTTCTACCTTGTCAGCAGGGGTATTCAGGCATGTAGTGTAGTGATGATTTATGTATTTATAATAACAAGGCACAAGACCTTCAACCTGGAGGTCCACCTAATCAGTTTCCAAACAGACAAAAACTTGTGGCAAGGTGAAAGGGATCTGCTTTCCACGTCCACAATGGATGTGACCAAAAATAATGGGCTTCAGCTGGAGCATGAAAGATTCAGTTTCAATGTCAGAATAAAACCCTGGACGCCTAAAGCCACGGGCAGGAAGAGAGATCTGGGACCAACTCTACCAGGTTTTCATCCACCCCAAGTATCTCCCCGGTTTTCCATAGAACTCAGGTTCAAGAGAAGAAAATGTGCATAATAATTTGAATGTATTCACCACTTTTTCAGCCTGCTATTTGCTTCAGGTCTTGTGCTAGAGTAAGGATCCCACTCACAGCTGTTATCAACAACACAATAGGAGAGAATTTTAAAGGGGATCCTTATCAATAATAAATGTCTTATTCATTACACAGTTATGGTTCTGGCCTCTCTTTACTACCTGGAAAGGCAGACAGATGTAGATTTCAATTATTACAGAACCATTCCCGTTTTACCCTGCATAGAATTCAAAGACAGATATCAAGGTTCTGAAGAGGGACATGCTCAGTACAACATTGTCACTTGTGCTCTGCCCTTCAGAGAAATTAGCAAGAAGTGCGTGATGGCATCTTGAGAGATGCAGAAACTGAACACTTCCCTGTCTGTTAACACGCCCAATGGTTAGGAAAGGCAAATGCAACTTCAATATTACGTACGTTACTATCTGGGTCAGCATTTTTTACAAGAAGCTGAGGGTTTCAGTGGAGGCTCTCAACCCCCCATGAACAGAATGCTGAACCTGTCTTTATCAGCTCCTTTGGCCAGAGGTTAAATGGAGTGTTCGATGAGGTGTGTGAAGGCTTGGGGAAAATGCACCTTTGAGTACCAGGATAATTATTCACATGAAGACATGAAAAAAATGTGAATACAATTTGACACAACCATTAAGGTTTTCATAAAACAGGCAAAGTATCCCAAAGAATAACAGTATACTTTGAAGCATTTGTCATAAAACAAGGCGAGGGGAACATGGATGTCACTGGAAAAGCATGCACTAAAATATAACTTGATAAGTTTATTTCTGATAGAGAGACTGGTACTTTAATACAAAATTCAGAATTCTGGCTCAGTTTAAGATAGATAACATAGGTTCTGTACATAAAAAAGCAACAAAAATGTTCAGATTGTCCAAAGGTATTGCTTTACATTTGTGTAAATCCATTTCAAAATTATTTAAAATACCTCCCCCTCTATGTAACCTGTCTTTATAGCAATCTCTGTACTTTACACACAAAACGCACACGAGACTCACCTCAGAATTTCTTTCCGTGTAAAGAATGTGCAGTCCTATGAAATAAGAAAAGATGTAACATGTAATGACAGTTTTTAGCATGCATTGGCCCAAAGTTTTCCAGTACAGTGACTTAAATGGAGTTATATCGCAATATATGTAGCCAAGCATATAATTAGGAGTATTTTATAACCCTTCTTCTTGATATAAGATTCAAACTATGTTACTAAAATCTTTCCTGTAATTTAGTACTCCTACTTAGTAATTTTTGAAGAGACTGTTTAAAGAAATTCAATGTTCTGTCCAAACAGCTGTCCAAACAGCGGTTTAGTTTGTTTTATACCTGATATGCATCCAGTTGCTCTGGAGTGAAAATGGTTTGCTTGTTGCCCATTTCTAGCTCTGAAGGCTGATTCTTGTCCCATCATTCTTTCCTCAAAGGCACCTTTATAGGAGGTCTGGATATTCAGTTATTAAAAGCTGCAACAGTGAGGTTCAGGTACAGCAGAGGATCAAGTAACCGGCTTCCCTGTTCCACAGGCTGCAAAGTATCATAAATCTTTAGTCTGGCTACTTCAGGCTCTCGGCCAACATCACTCACCTGTCTCCTCTGTGCACAGCGAAGACTCACGTTACAGTATTTAGCCAATAACAACTAATAGCTGCTTGCTTGTGCCTTTGAGGGAGCAGGTAGACTTCATGGATCATACTTTTTCATTCCTTCAGATATGGTAAATTACCTGAAAAGTATTAGTAATGTCTTTCCTCTTTAAGAATTAACACCAAATGCTAGAAATTAGTAACAGTGATGGTAACCCCTTGTGCTTTCCTTCTCACTTTTCCCTCTAATACACTAATGCTAATGGTAGTTTTTACTGGAGGTACTATCTATAAAGTTTGCTCACTCCCTTTATTCTGCATTATCTGTTAATACACATTACCACTAGTTAACGATTATTAGCATGACATGATACATATATACTGATATATATATGACCTTTACACTGAAAATACGTGTGAGTATGTAGTTCATACATGTGAACAGAAATGGGGGGTTACAGGCTGTATGAAATATGAAAAACAAGGGTAGGAGAAGGAACTGACTGCACAACTGCAGCATATGCCTTATTTACTGATCACAGGCAGGCTGTAAAATGTTCATTTCTTGGTCATTCCTACCATCCGGCTGGGTGGGCCCCTCTGTCCGGTGGAAAATCTATTCCCCTCAGCGAAGGAACGCCAGCCTCACCCGTCGGCGCCTTCAAATAAGCAAAAATTATTCAGAATTGTTCCGTTCGGCACGGAACACGCCGTGTGGGGAGGGCTGGGGCTGGTTCTTTCTGGCGCAGCCCGGCTCTCCGGACTTCGCTCCGAGGGCGGCTTGGGCTCGCCGCGGTTTTCCCTCACGGGGGGGAGAGGACGCACCGTTGCCGCGGCAACGGCGCCGCGCGCTGCGGGAGCCCG